AGGTAATCGTTCTTTCATTTCCATATAATTCAAAACCAATTGTTGTCGATACGAATAATAATTTAATACGGTTCTCAGAATTCATTCGAGTCCCACATTGCTTTTTGTTATACTTATCGAGCAAATTGTAGCAACACGTTCGCTTGATTACAGCGGAGTTAGATTGAGATTGGCCCAAAACGAATTGTGGTTGGCACCAGTGTCTTTTATTCGGGAAATAATAGACACGATAAAGAAAAGGAAATAATAGTCCGTGACTAAGCTTCTAATCCTTTTCAGAAGGGAATCAACGTAATACGTAACACACTGCGTAAAAAATGTGTGAAAAGTAGGTAACGCATGGATAAATCTTACGTAACGTGAGTTAGATCGATATCGAGTACAGAAATTCTGCCTTTTACTAGAAAGTTACTATTGAGAAGAACGCTTTGTTTCTAAGTGCGTTTTGGCAGCTCATTTTATGACATTTAAAAATCCACCTCGACGTAAAATTACTCAATAATTATGGACCTGCTTACCTCCAGTTTTTACTGTCAACGCTACACAATCATCTATGAAACTGATGAGAGTTTGATTTTGACATGAGCCTCATCAACCATTCACGTCATTATCATCATGATATTGACAGATTGTTATTAGCAGGCCAAGACCGGGGTAAGTTTCGTAGCCATGATTGCTTTAGCTGTTAACAGGTAAATATTGATAGACTATAATTTGAATCAGCACTTGACACCGAGGATTGCACGTCATTGTAGAATAGAATTGAATAATTATTGTTTTAGACATGCACCTAGTTAACTATGATATTCTGTGTATGTTGTGTTTGTATCAGATATGGTGTGACAATCAGGTGACTTTAAACCTGCATGTTCGTGCAAGACAATATCTTATAAGAGAATTTCGTCATCTCATTGTAATCACTTATCTTTTTTAGAAAGACAAGTAACAGAGTTTTTTGCTAGTATAGTATAAAAACGTAATCTTCAGTAGAATTTAACATTACGAACGAGTCTACACAAATCCAACAACATCAAAAGATGGTATCGTCTTGTAAATACTATTCGGGTCAATTGAAGAGTATTCAAATTTTCCGAATCGAGAGTTCGATTTTCTAAGAACTTACTAACTTAATAAACAAGTTATCTGCCAGACTACTTCAGGACAAAAGAACAATGTTAAAAGGCTTTTCACACAGGCAATAAAAGCGATATTAGGAAATATCCCTTAATCGGTGGTTTTAAAAGTGTCGATAAAGGCGTCTTGAGCCTTATACGGGCAATCGTGAAAGAATACTGTACTCTTAACACATGCTGCTCCTTATGTCAACGCAGAAAGGTCTCAATTTCAATGTAATTTTAGTTTCATCGCTTCTGACGTCTTCGCCTACTTTTAGAAGCACCTTTTATAGTAACCCATATAACTTGAATTAGGTATTGAGGCATTATTGTTGGAATTAGATCTCTATTTTTATTGGGTTTCACACAAATTTAACAGGTGACATTAAATTTGTTTTAATTTATAGTGATATATATTCATTGCGTTAATAATAATTAGTATAATCCGTTGTAGGTAGTTTGCCCTTTTTGCAATATTAATTTATTAATAGATTTCGTTACAATTCAGCATACTAATAGGTATCTTTTAAAAGTCATACATATTATATTCATATTTTTGAGGGGATTATAATATCACTAAAAGTAGCATAAAGTGTATAATGGGCAACGTCTTCAGTTCAAATGAACAGAACTTACTGAAGTACACTTTCCATGAAGCAAACGTAACATTATCCACAATATCCACCAATCTCTTACATATCTTGACTATTTTTGTTAAAAAAACTGGCATCCCCAACATAAAAAGTAGGGCTTACAAAGAAAAACGACAAGTTAACTTTAACATAGTTGTAGATAAGACGAAAACATAAAACAATTTGTTACACTCCAGCTAAAACTGGTCATTTTATAACGCCGGGTTTGAGGATGACCGCTTTGAATGGGCCACTTAGCACTTTAAGCTGTACAGTGGTGTTTTTAAAAGCTATTTTGCTTTATAAGATTCAAAGAGGGTCTAAAAAGTTAAGAACCTGTACTAATTGCTTCCTGAGGGCACGTTAACCGCCTCCGAAGAGGTGGAGCCACTTTTTTTACTAATAAGCAGGTGAAGGTTGGATGCCCCTGTCTCGCTTAACGGAAAAGTCGTAAGGTCAGTTTTGTTTGTCTTCGCTTATATTATAGAGGCAAAGTGGTTCGTATGTAGGTGTACAGTTTCCGTATATTCAAGTTGTTCCTGTTGATAGCTTATTTTCAGGATATAACTTGTAAATGACTGAACATTTATTAGGCTATGTTATTTTTGGAAATTTTACGTTTACTTACATCAATGTACTTTATCGTGTGTAGGTACTTCGTAGTGCATGATCTGGCTAGGTACCCTGTCACATAAGTGCCTGTATTCCCAAGATGGTGGCTACCGTTACCGCACCGCAGCTGATGGGGATTCCCGTAAATCATGGCCATTGTCTGCACTGGCAGATGCTCGTATCCCTTCCCTATCTAGGCTTTTGATTTAACATGACTGTGAATCAAATAATAAATTTTGCACCACAACACTACCAATATCTGGTGAAGTCTCTGCTAAATATTTTGAAGTGAGATCATATCCCAACAGTTTTGTGATTCCCAATCGTGTTAAAAAAAAATTGTGTATGTTTAAACAAAAGTTTAATCTCATAACTTTTCTGTGGTCTTAGCCTGCTTAACGTTAAGCATCTCGGTACTTTCTTTGATTAACTAATAAAATTAATGTCCTGAAATTAAAACACAACCGCAACATGAACCGCTTATTCATAAATCCTTTTATAATCACGTCTACCCGTAATTCAGTTTATAGAAAAATGTATAACCACCTGTCTGACGAGCCACATCGGAATGTAAACCTAATTATCCAGATCAGAAGGTCTTAAATTAAAAAAGATATTGCCGATTGATATAACTCTAAAATTGTGGAACAGATCCGAGAAATGATTAAGAAAATGAAGCTCTAAATCAAAGCGGAAGAGATGAAATTCGTGCAGCGATAAAATCAGTTACGAAAGAAGCGCGTGCGCACGGTACAGCGCTACCAAGGTTTTAGGACCAAAATCGGTTTATGGTTCTGGAATATAGTTTAAATGAAGTAGCAAACCTTTAAAATAATTTTCAGTTTTTACTAAAAGTCTTTTACAGAGTTTGACCCTGAAAATGTCTCAAATCTCCAGTAAATCGAAATGAAAACTGTCACATCGACACGATCTTTTCATGTTTTGACATGTGGCCAGTTTACTTTTGGGTGTTTATTTATAATTGCCCGGTTTCTGAATAAGATGATAGTTGAAATTGCTCATTGTCTACTGTAACATCTCATTTCAGAAACCGGGAATATAACCAAACCACTGTTTAAACCTTTCACAAACTCAGTGGTTTGAGCATCAAGCCAGTGGTAACGCTGCGCTCATCGAATCAACTCCGGCGCAGCTATTACGTTGATTGCGGTAGCAAATGATACCCGGCCCTAAACAACGCGGCTCTTCCTGCAAGCATTCCTCGGGCCTTTGTACTTCTTCACAAGTGATAGCTTTTTCAAGTTTATCTCTGCTTATAGCAATAATTTTAGGTACCTAGAAAGTTTGATAAGGAACTTATACAACTGCTATGAAAACTTTTTAATACTATTCAAGGTTATTAATGTTGATAATAGCAATTAGATTTTTAATTTGAAAAGGACTTAGCTATATATTAATTTTTATTTGAACTGCTTGGATTAAGTTCCCATTAATAGCTTTGTAATGCTTCTCATTTGCAGTTCCCAAGCTTACTTTGTGTATAACAAAACCAGTATTTAACTTTGTAAGTTTCCAACTGACAGAGTGTTTCCGAATCATCATTCCAGGCATACCCTTCGCGATTTATAGCCTCTACTCTCTTGTGAAATATCACACAATGCTGATTTCTCCTCAGCCGCGTCAGTTTAATTAAAACTGATTTTACTGCATTATCTCGCAGCTGATCTAGCACTAATCGGACTTACATTAAAAGCATTAGAAAGCACTCATTGGGGCTATCGATTCAGCTTCATTTGATGTATAGTTTCCGTATTCAAAAGCCATAGCTGCATTAGGTATGTCTCCGGTCCAATTAATAAACTGGATTCATCAAGTGTACCCTTTTGAGTTTATAGATAACACACTACTGACACACTTTTGATTTAACTATTCGAATGAGAAACGTAACTGTAAAGTTATTGGAGGAAATTAGATACAATTTATCTAATTGTTTGTGATAAGATCCAGTTGTAGAAACGGATTTTGGTGTAAATGTAAATAAGGTAACTGTTGATTTGCTGTTTTATAACTTTCAATTTGCTTCGTAAACGTACTGACCTTTTGTCGATGAAAATACCAGTTGGAACGCTAAAGATTCTGCTTAATATAAATAAAATAACTTTTTATGGACACTCCTTATGAAGATAATTGTAAAAACCTGGAATTCCACCGTTCAATTTTGCACTAGAATACAATCTTGCAGATTCTATTTACAGATGAAATGACTTAGCACGCAGCAGACACGTCTCATTTCTTGTGCGTGCTAAATCTAAATGTAGCATCATACTTCTCATTTCCCATCATTCCACGATTAACGATGTCGTAAATTCGCAATATCGATTAATTTTATCGAACACTTTCTCATCTCGAGCTAATTAAACTGGGAACCCGCATCTTATTTATGACACCTCACATCGATTGAGTGACATATTTGCTGGGAACCTGTTTCAATTAATGGCATAAATTAATAAAAAGCTTGTAAAAGAACAACTCAAATTTGAATAGCTACTCTAGTAAAGGGATGGTTTTGTCTCTGCACGTCCTGCTCGCACCCGTTGAGCTTCACGTATTCTGTCTCGCTTTCGGAGGTTCTGCGCTCATCGCTTGGCTGCCTCCGTGTCCGTCAGTTGCGCATACGCGTCAGCGGGAAGCAACCGCCTTTGAATTTCGAATAAATTTTCGCGCGTTGTAGTTTCAACGTTGCCAGTTTGTGTTCCATTTTCGAATTGGATTATCCGTTGTTACCTGCATGGAGGTTTCAAATCTGTATCAGTGCCCATTGTGATGGATTGGTGTGTGCAAGTGATGTGATTTTCTAGTGAAGAAAGTGATTTCATCACAAAGGATTACAGTGATTAATATTGTTGGAAAACACGTGAGAACAGCATTGTAATAGGTAAATTAGAATGGTTATGTTCGAAGCTACTCTCCGATGAGATTGCAATACTGTTATCTAAGTAATTATCGTTTGTTTAGCATTTTATTTTCATTTTCTGGCCTCACCTGCGGACAAGGTGCATCTATGTCGGGACTAAATTGGCTTTTATAGACTAACTTGTCATCTACAAATGGTCAGTTTTCTAATTGCGTATTATTATGTTTGACACATTTGACATTTGCAGGAAGCTTTCTAAGACCTACTCACGTATTTGTATGATAATTTATAACATGTTTATGTAGGCCTATATTGAATTTAGCTAATTTTTGATTGTTGAAAATGGGTAGAACTTTAATTTTTGTAAAAGCTAAAAGCACACTATTATTATAAAACGTGTTTGTATCTTATAAGTTAAGTGATTATATAGCGTACCTTTATTAACACAGTCACACGCTTTTAAAAAAGTGGGTTGCATTTTCAAGATCGTATTGCTTTAATTTGATATCCAAATTGGAATTCAAATTTGTTTCTTCCGATTAAAGTTTGCATATCGAATGCACGCAATTTGTTTGGGACCGGTCCTACAGTTATTTGATAGGAAGTCCAAATGGTTTTTAAAAAAAAGTTCATTGATAAACATGGATATTGGTTCTGCATTCACATTACGAAGGTATCTCCTATGAAATGACACGCAAACCTATAATTGGCATAATCTTTTGCATGGTTTGCATAATACGGTTTAAATTTAAACGCGAGGTCCAAGCCAGTCCGTTCGTTTTTTTGTAGCTACGAATTTAATGAAGAAAAAACATAGTTTCGTTATTGATCGAAAGCGACAGCCTGAATTTTGCAAAACTTTCCAATGAGATCTAAGATGATACTGGCGGAAGTAATCGAGTAGGTATCAATCTTCTTTAAGAAAATCATTAATAAATCACCAAGTTGACCTCCCATACTCAAAGTAATCTATCAGAACTCGAAATGGTTGACAGACAAACTGATGAGACCATAATTAAAAGTTTCTAATAAGTAATTAGGTACGTCAATCAATAAGTAACTGAAGATTGATAATTTGGGTCTCTTGAGACATTAACTTATAGTTATTTAGTTAGATTAACCAAAATGCCTCTTGATTTCCTAGTACCCGTTTGGGTTTTTTGATTGTACTAATACGTTTTCTCAACAAAAAAAACATATCTTTAGTGTTTCCCGATCCTCCTCCAACGTCCTCTATGCCAAAATAAGTTAAAATTGGATCAGAAGACTCTTGAAAAGACAACAAATAAAGATACAGGCAAAGTTATACTTTCGCATTAATAAATAGGTAAGCATCAGCATGGATGGATTGAATGTAAACGCTACTCGAACGTCTAGCGTAGAAATAAAGCCAGACTTTATTCAAATCTAAAACGATCTCTACCATCCATTAAACTCGGTACTTAAGTAAAGTTCTCACTTGTTAATTGGAGCCTTGGAGAAAACCTAGGGCCGGCACTTTCGCCGCTTCCGGTGCATAATGCGATATGATACCTGTCTCATTATACGCCGCTATTCCCGCTCATTTCCATTTTGATAATGGCTGCCTCCAGCAGACATTGGAAAATGGAAATTATTGATTATCCGGTCCGTTTGTTAGAAAGTGTATGAAAGCCATTCAATTGGCTTATTTGCATTTTCCACTGCCCAGTAGCCCGTAACATTGTTTTGAAGTAGTAGACAAACTTTGTGTAAAGTTCTGGGAAAGAAAGAGGGTTTGAGAAGAGAAGCATTCCAAATAAGCTATGTGCTACTATACTCGTACAATTCGATTAAAATGAAAGTGAAGTATTTTTCGAGATTATAAATATTAGTTTTTGCCCTCTCTACAAACAACCAAAAAAAAAAAAGTCCATCACTATGTTGTTCTTTAAGTAAAGGTTTTTTGTAATGAAATGTAAGTCATGTACTTTTGTTGGTAGGATGTAAGTAAGAAGCGTAAGTTCGTTAATGTTGTCTTTTTCTCTGATTGACTATTCAAACTGACAATATTTACAACTTTTAATTTTCTTTTCAAAAATGTAGTCCTTCATACTTACTTACGATAATGTATTTGCATCACGTTTTTGTACGTCTTTTTAGTCGTTAGCTTTTTAGACCTATCTGAATAAGCCACATTTCAAAAACACCGGTTATGAAAAGCTCTCGTGACTTTAATTTAGATTCCAAGCTACCTCGCACATGTCACTATTATTTATTTATTTATTTATTTATTTATTTATTTATTTATAGGCACAACCATTGTATTACATACAATGTACGAGTTTTAATGAAACAATTTGCAGATTACATCTAGAACTCGTTGCTGTGATGGCCTAAGGGAATCCTGTCGATGATACTTAACCCTTTATGCGCCGTGACAGGTATTTTTTATTGTTATGCGACTTTGAGGGAAGTTAGTAAGGTTCAAAATATAATAGCTACTGTGTAGAGTAAAGAAAAGTGCACTAGAATACTGATGGATCACGGTGTTCATCTTAAGCCCTTTAAAGATATATGTTATTAGCTGTCCGAGTGACAAAAATAACATTATTTAATTAATTTTAACAGACATTAACGCGATACCCGGTTAGATACATAATTAAATATTACCAGTATTTGCCAGACGTTTCGACCGTGGTCACAGACTGATTAACTGACTGAGTAATATTATTATTTGAACCGATGATGAGAAATTTAATGCACTCAGTTTTCGAAGTTTTTTTTTACTCTAAATTATAATTTACCTAAGTGTAACAAAGTAAAATTTTTCAAAGTCAAAGTCAAAGAAAACTTTAACGCAGTTTAACATATTTTACAAACAATAAAAAGAGTTTCCTCGTAGCACTTAACCGATACCCCAGTACGGTTATGAGAAAATGAGTAGGCATGCACACTTGTTGCAAGCTTGCTGATGTACGGTCCTTTGTGAAGGCCGAGACAATTGGGTTTCAATGTTTTTCAATTGTCAAGAGGCATGAAACCACAGTCATCGGTGCTCTGCCTGTAATAATACCCTGCCTGTAATAATGCTCCTTGAGACGAAACGCAAATAAATTAAGAATAATATGGGTAGCAAAAGTATTATGCATCTGACTGAAATAGAAAATTGTATGAGAATAGATATGTAGTAAACAAAACTTCATAAATATGCACCAAACACACACCCTGATTACATAACATTACAACACATTCACTGGTCGCAACGTGTACATTTAAGGGTTAAAGACAAAATCAACAATGCCGTTGTTGTTATGGGGACAGATTTAGATAAGATGGTGATACTACCTAGGCAGATGAACTTTAAACAAGCTCTAACACCAACCAAAGTTAGCAAAAAACTTTGCCTCCACTGGGAATCGAACCCGACGACTCTGGGTCTGAGACAGATGGTCTTAAATTACCACTAGACCACAAAGTTGTCATTTCATGACAAACGTGCAATTTTCCCCTGTTATGTTGAGAAAGTATTTCCTGATTAATTACAACGAACTGCTTCAACAATGGCGGGGAAAGCTATTAGCATTGTTATAAAATCGCTAATTATTAATTACAAGTATAAACACATTAAATCAGTGCTTATCGTCTCGTAAGTCTGACAGATTTATTACAGCCCACGAGGTAGAAGAAACGGTATTGTAGCTACACAAAAGGTAGAAAATATAGAGCAGTTATAGAAAATATTACACAGAAACGGTTACTATGGGAGCATCATATTGTCAAATTAATCACACTTTTCATTCAACTTAACTATCTTATTCTACGACTTAAACTAATTCTTCTTTCTAATATACAGGGTGGAAACGATAAGTGATCTCATTTGATTATTTCTAAACTCTATCAAGATCCTGAAAGTGCTTCACGAGCTCTTTCAAACGGTACCTACCAATAATGGGTTACAGAATAAATTGAATCTATCCGAAAATTCAATGTTTCCAGCTTCGGGATAACATTTTAGTCGATCAGATTTCAATTAGCTTCCTTAATAAATGTTTGCAAGTAGTGACGTTTCAAGGGAGGTTGTAGTACCTACTTAGTACAAATTATAAAGTTACGAGTACCAGAGTACTTTGTAGTACTTTCTTTCTATTTTTATTATATTCTACTGTATTTCTGGAAAAGTCTTTGTACAGTGTAGGTATTCGTATGATAGTAGTACTAAAATGTTAATACAATAATAAACCACTCCCACAAAAAGCCTTTAATTGTTATTAAACACGAGTGAACTAACTGTGTCATGTATTCGTAATTTGTAGCCTGGCATTGAGGTAACTGAAGGTCACACAGTATTTGTCTTCGAAAATATGTATAGCAACTTCCTCATTGCGCAATCGTTCCCTCATAATATTATAGAATTACTACTTAATACTCAATCATTTAGTTTTTAATGTTCGGTAATTTATTATTACTTATTTGTAACCTACATTTTCCACTGATATCTTTGCCAAAATCACTGATTTGTGAAAGTAAATCAAATAAGTATAATGGCAGTCGAAAAAGTATTGTTGTTTCAAAACATTAAAACTGAATTGTTTCGCGAAGAGCTTCTCAGGGTTCTGTAATGGGGCCTAAAGTTTTTCATATTCGTGAAAAGTTTATTATTTGACAGTGAAAATAAAAAAGGCAAGTGTAACAGGTTTCCTAAACATATTTAATGACACTAGCTACTAAGATTGCCCAAGAAATATAAGGAATTTGATTTGAAAATCTTATAATGTATGATGGGTGTTCTTGTTCAGTCTATATTTACAATATTACTTTACTTCATACAAGCTTTTTCCTCTCTTACTGAAATGGAAAGAGAAATTACGCGTCCGCATAATACAGTTAGGTAACAATAAGCGACAGTGGAGCAAAAACAAGGCTTCTTGCAATGAGCGTATAAGGCAATATACTATGCTACCAATAGAAGGAAAACGCCGGAGATTTATACTCATAGCAACTAGATTGCTTTTTTAGGATTTTGAATCTGGAATGTAGAAAAATATAGTAAAAGTTTAAAT